CAAATTCGTGTTTCATTTCACGATTCTATCGGAAAATCGTTTGATTCAATTAGATCTCAAATTCGATGGACTCTATCCCGCAATGATCTCATCAGTATATCTCGCGGTTCAGACAATACCACTCTTAAGATACGATCACTAAAAGAGGGCCGAACTCTGGTTAGAATCTTTGACTCCGAGAATAATAACTACGATTACTTCAATGTGGACGTCGGACCTGTCATCGAACCCCACGATTTGGCCATAAGTGTGGGTCAAGTGGTGTGTCTTAATTGCAAACTAAAGAGCGCCAAAACAGGCTTTTGGTTCGTTGAGAATCCATCGATTGGTGACATCGATAGAAATTCTGGAGTATTTGTGGCCCGAAGTGGTGGACACACTAGTATTGGCTGGAAATCTACTGACGGCTTATCCACTTATACACCCATTAATGTAATGCCTCCGCAAGAGTTTTCATTAGACACAACACATTTGGTTGGCATCACTAATATTATCATACAATCCATCCCTATATCTATTGTGAGTCAAACCGTAAGCATTGGCTACAAGTATTGCAATCCTTTAATTGATTTGCAAAGCATTGGATCCTTTGACAGTCCATTCAGTTGTGACATTGCTTTTGATAGCAGTCTCCAAATGAAATCTATTTGGGATATTGACTCTCAGTTCGACATCAATACAAACCAATGGTTTTGTCGCTTTGAGCCTAAGAGTGACTTAAATTTAGCAGAAATGGCTGCGATTAACACCAATGTCTCGATTTCGGTCATAATGTCGGCCGCGACTCGCGATTCTGAAGCCAACCTCAAGCCATTGATTCATACCATTAGTATCCCATTTGTACCGGCATTTGATGTCTCACCGAAACAAGTGATTCTAAGTCTGGATCAGTCGGAGACTCGTCTTACCATTCATTCCGTGCCTTTAGTTCTCGAAGACTTGACTATAGTTACATCAAATCCAGAAGTGATTGACGTTAGAAAGTCTGACATTACAGGCAATTCATTGAAAATAATAATTTATCTGAAAAATGCGGACATATTTTCCAACGATGTCTCCAATTTACACATTTCTCTCAACTCTAAGATAACAAAACAAATACAGAGAATTCCGATTCAAATCAAACTATTTCGACAAAACATTCAACAAGTTTCACCGTTTTCTCAACTATTCAAAGACAATTCAATCACTTTTATTCTGTTCACAATAATCGTTGCATTTATTTTGTATAAAATATTTACGAAGTACTTTCAGCCCAAAGTGAGTGTCAGTGCGACCACAACAGTGCCGTCCAATATCGGCTCTCCATTCTTGGCTGACATCCACTCGCCATTGAAGGGACACAGAAGTAAGACATTCATTCATTTATTCAGGGTTATTTCGTTGCCATGTCTTTGATGAGCACTTATTAATACTTTATTCCCATAGCTTTGAACTACAGTCCAACCCATACACCACATCAAACTCCTACGGCTTCTACACCACGCGTTGGACGTCCTCTATATTCAGTTCATAATACATGAGTTTTTAGGATTAGTATTAATAATGAGATTTAAAGTGAATTTTTTAAATTGTTTACCTAATTATTTTATATTAGAGTTTAAATGATCGATAACTCGCATTGTTTTCTATTGAAATGCTACTAAACTTCCAATTTTAATAATATAAAACATTAATAGGAGCTTAACTTAAAAGCCAATCAATACAGACTCCTTTCATATTATTGTAATATCTCATAATGTGATCAAATGTTTCTAATTATTTCTTATATTATAATAAAGTTTGTGATAATATTTTTGAATTATAATAAAAATAAAGATTTTTTAATTCATAACTGCATATAATTTTACAGAATTATTAAACTTAAATACCGTACATTTATATTTATAACTTGTATTTATATTTGCTTGCTATAAATTACTAGATATATTCTGTATCTCTGATAATAAGTTGTCAAACAATTTTTGTTTACTTTTTCTAATCACTAAAAAACTTTGTTTATGAAAAATGTAAATCAAATCAAATTCGTGGCGCTTTATGTAAACGGTATGTATTTGTGGCAAATATAAAGAATAGTTTCTTTGATTTCGGTATTTATTTGAATTGAATTTCAAATTATGTTTAATCAGGACGTGGACTCACTTTTGAAGAATAAGTATATCTTTTGAAGCACTTATGAAGTGATGTTTGGATTCCTTTATCGCTGTCTTATGTTTATCTGAAAACAAATTTATAGAAATTAAATAAATTGATGAAAATTTGTTTGGAAAAATGAAACATAGATTAGAAGTAACCCTCAATTATTTGAAGACAAAACTTAATGACAATCTTGTGTTGAATTTCTTGTTATGAAAGTTATCTCAAAAGATAAATACAAACACTTGTATTTTGATATAGACTTGTGTCCTCTCATCTGAATCTAAATATAGTTTCAATTATTTATGTGTTTTTCGCAGATATAGTCAAACAAAACGATAATTCTTAAGAAATTCTTAAAGAGTTGCGATAAAAAGAATTTATTGATTTCGAGACAAAGAATTTTCATCTTTTCTTTCATTTTATCTCTTTTTATGAGTTTTTAGTCGAAAAATTTAAGCAAATTATGAGTTATCCATAAAAATGCATTTCAATTGCGACTAAAACTCATACATAAAACCCAAAAGCGAATGAAAAAAATTTAATTTTGTTTCGGAATCGGAGATAAAGTAATGTTTCGTTCAGTGCTAACACACAGTAGTGTATAATACGAGTGCAAACACGCCTTCAACTAAAGCGTTGGGGCATAACATAGAAGTGCTTTTAGGAAATGGTTTGCCTCTAAAAACTTTATTTGCAACACATATAATATATATTGCAAATTTGAAAAATGCATAAAAACTTACAGTTATTTCACTATTTTTATGACAATATTCGTGAAATAAAAAGAATTCGTTTAATACATAAAGTAATCGTAGAAATGCTGTATAAATATTTGAGATATTTATGAGCCGTTCCGTGAATTTGTTGTCAATTAATTAGACTCTAGCACTGAATCCAATTCCCTTACAGTTGCAACTGTGGCTTTACATTCATTTACTGAATATATCCCCCAAAATAGATTATCTAAATCTTATAAAAGGTGTGAATTGTTGTGTATTAGAAAATAAATATGCAGGCATTAATCTTATGCTATAAATGCAAATATACAGTAAAATATAATATTACACAACTGTATATACAATACCATATTTTGTCAGAAGTTTGTGTTCACTTCGTCTCATGATTTATACGGTTTAACACAATTCATATGAATGTCTTTGATTTCACGCTCTATTTTAAAGGATATGTCTTTCAACTAAACTAACAAATGTCTCAAACATTTTTTTGTCACCAATTATTTAAATTTAAATTCTCATCGATTTATTTGCTCTAAACTTTAAACACAAAGTGAATGTTAAATTTAACATTACATACAGCATAAGACAATCCGCGCTTTAGATTAGACTTATATAAATAAATCAAAAGGTTTTAACATTTATTTCAATTTAATTGCAACGAAAATGTAATCCAATTCATCATAATATATAAAAACTAAAGTCTAAAAGTCATTATTGATTGCAAAAAATATCAAACAATTGAATTATAAGTTTAAATGATGTTTGTCTTCAGGTGTTAGACTTGTTCTGCAACTTATAGTTTGTTCAAAAACTTATAGAAAAAAGTGAAACAAATTAAACTTTATTTTCAAACTCATATTTATTACGACTCCTAATCTTTAATTTCATTTCATAGCCAAATAGAAATTATTCTCAATGTCTAAACTAAACAACTTATCTAAAAAAAGTTTATATCATTTCGTTTTATTTGAAAATTGGAAATAAAATTTATTTTCAATTATTTTATCACTTTATTATTGCCTGTAATATAGAGTCGAAAATAAATTTATATATAATTTATGAATAATCTCTTTTCAAAAGAAGAGTTTTTAGTGCTTTTATGAATTTCTATAATATTTGAGTCAAAACTAATTGCTTGCCTAACCAGAAAAGACACAATTATAGGCAGGGATTCAATTGGCTTCTCATCTTATATTAGATATACAGTTAACAAGAGTTGATATGAACTCAAAGTTTTTGCTAAGAATTAATAACTAAAGTATCAAATTTTGAAGCAATCATTTGTTTATAATAATAATTATTGAAATCGTTGTTTAACTATAATTAGTAAAGCATTCATTATATGCTCCAAACAAGTGATTTGTTTGCAATTGTTTCGGAAGATGCAGTTCTTGTGCATAAATCGTATTTTAAAGATCATTATAAAAGTGATTAATTATATTTTTGTACACAAAGTAAGAAACAATTTTATGGCTTTATATTTTGCACACTTTCTAAACACTGCAAATTGGCAGTTGATTGAAAGCCATAAAATCTTCAGCAAAAAACTTTAACTTAATTTTAATCTTTATTTTTATCGATTCTTTACTGTTTTGAAATATAGCACAATATATGCCATATACTATATGGTTATATTTTATAATAGAAATTAATTTTAAATCCAAAAACTGGTTGAATATTATAGCCGTATGTATTGAATTTAACAAAGATTGAAGTTTTTGTGAAAGTCTGTCCGTCTGTCACGCATTTAATAAATTATTGCTAAATATCTAAATATAATGCTATCATTCAGACGCCTACGTATTGCCTGATAGGCATTGATTGATGTGCGGCTAACCTCTTAATGCTTACAACCATTTGTTACTTCCTATTCATATTAGGCTATTATATAAGAAAAAATGTCATTAGAAATGGATTTCACCGTAACTTATATCCAGTCTTTTGATTACATTTCAATGTCTCAATAGCTATGAATAAATTGTTTGGTCGACCGTTTAAACTGATAAAACTCCATAACATATGGACTCAAAAATACAATTTACAACTTTTGCAGTAAATTCTGCGATACAGTGAAGTAATAATAATCGGCAAAGTATATTCACTATAATCTAACTGAATATAACTGATTGTATCATATTTTATACAATATTGCTTTGAACGCCTTATAATGTGCTACACTATGCCAGTAATACACTGTATGGCATACCGTACCTACTACATTGTATACTAGTCTATACCGGTGGTTGGTGTTAGTGAGGGTGAAGTAGTTGCAGTAGTGGTGGAACGGGAGACAGGAGTCAGTCATTTAGGAATTGACAGACAATCCGATGACCAGAGGAGCGAACATCTGCGCCCAACACAGCACTTGCCTCTCAATGCCGACAAAATGAGCCAAATATTAATGCACTTAAAAATGTCAATACTTTAGGAAACAATACTCTGTGATCTGCATATAGTGTGCATAAACTTATTGAATGCCACTTCAACTCAATGGCTCGCATCCCAGTCTAACAGTTAGTATTGTCTCAACAGTCTCTCTATGAGTCTAATGATTAATTACCACATCTTTTGTATGATTGTCGCTCATTGTCTGCAAATAGATATTTAGCAATGGGTTGCCATAAGCGGCCAATTCTGGCAATACTGTCGACTAGTCATAGGATTCTGAATCCCTTTTCGTTACCAATTAATTCATTTGCAGTGAGAGAGGGCTTAGAGAGGGTGTGAGTGTAATGAGAGCTCCACTAAAGACAACATTAACTTTGCAATCAAACTGAGCGCTACATTAATGGCATATAATATGATTAATTAATGGCTCGCTTTGACTAAATGTCGAAACAAAAGAGTGAGTGCCGGTGCCCTCACACCGACACACCATTTCTCTCTAAATGCAATGGCATTATCACTGATTATAATGATGAGAGGCATGAGAGGGGGTATCAGTGCTCACACATCACTGCACTTCACTCTAGTCTTTGAGTAAATATTTTTTACCTCAACTATAATCACAAGAGAGTGAATGCATTGTATGCTTATATTATGTGAGTTGAGTCGTTGTCACCGTTTAACTAATGATCGCTAAAAGTAAATACATTTCATCTGCAAAGTCGGTGTCGACTGCTCTGTGGCTAAGATTAATGCTTCGGATGTGATAAATGGTGTTCCGATTGTGTTTGCAATACTCCAATCCAATACAATATGACATATTCTCTACTGCACTGTATTAGTCTAAATGTATTCTCTATCTATACTTTCATATCTATACTATTGATCACTATTTAATCGTATTGCTGTTCAAATCCAATCAACACTACAATTCTCTCTCTCTCTCTCTCTCTCTCACTCACTCTCTCTCACTCTCCCTCTCTGTCACACAAATAATAGTGTGTTTTAAACAATTGCTTTCATATATTAAATTAGTTTATACAATGAGTGAATGAATGCTTTAAAGTGTCATTAGATAACGGTTGACACGAATTGAGAATTTGTAGCAATATTTTAGAAAATAAAACATAAATGAATACAATGTTAGGACAAAATGTAGGGCTAATAACGGCTATAAAAGTAGATGAGGAGGACGTGCACCACAATTATGACCGACCGCTCAGACCCTTCACACAGATTGCTGTTTGGGTTCTGAGGAGGAAGAGAGAGAGAGAGAGAGAGAGAGAGAAAGGCATAGAAAACAGAGAAGGAATACAAAGCAAAAACATTTTAAGTGAGTTAATAGTTGGTGTAGTCATACATTTAGTGCCATAATTTAGAGATAAAGCCATTCATTTTTGACATTTTATAAGTATTGCATTGAAGAGATGGTGTCTCTCAATGGCACCCGTATTGTCACATGAATTACAACTCAAATTTGAAATGACCACACATTACACACATTAAAAATGGGATATATTTTTGTACTTTAAAAAAGAGAATAGGAATAGAGAATAGACGAGAATTCCTGAGAAATATAATATAAGTGCTCTCATAAAATGCTGGGTAATGTTGGGTGCGCTCATGCATTGCCACAACTAATATGACATAACACTATTGCCACACATTTTATGGCAAAAGTATATAAAAAATTCTATCTTAAGAGATGAGACACTTTATAGATAAGGGACAGACAGATGGGATGAGATGGGATGTGATGGGATGTGAGCATAAGTTTTAATATGCTATGTCTTGCAGAACCGATTCCTGAAAATGATGCATAAAATGCAATAGACTTTGAAATATTTGGTGTGTTTTATATTATAAACACAACTGTTCTCTACTCAACTCGATTTTGACAACTTTTCTCCAAATAGTCAATACATTACTCAAAACATTAAATATTAGCTCAAACACCAACTCTTAGAATATTAATAAGTTTTACTTTACATAGGAATATATATAAATTTCTATTGACACGAATGCACATTAATTGTAAACTTTTGGTAGACTTCAATGTTAATAATAATAATAATAATAATTCTGTAATCAAATAAAAATTGTTTTTGAGATTATTTTCTAAGTTTAACTCAAAGGCGACGACAACGAGGGCTGCAGTTATTTTGACAAATAAAAGAAGTCATATGTTTGGAGAGGGAAGAGAGGGAAAGACATCAAAAAGAAATATAACGGAGTTCTTGAATCAATCGGAGCCCAGATTTTTAGCTTATACTGTATTCCACTTTTGGTCCTCCAGTTTATGCTGACTTGTATTAAATAAAACATTTTATC